TGCTCTAGCTTTTAGTGAAGTATATAATGGGTAGGGCCAGGAGTTTGAGACCAGCTCTGAGCAAAAGCAAGACCCTCTCTCTAAAAAAAAAAAGAAGAAAGAAAGAAAAGAAAAATTAGCCAGGCATTGTGGTAGGTTGGCCACCTATAGTCCCAGCGGCTCAGAAGGCTGAGGCAGGACAATTTGCTTGAGCCCAGGAGTTTGAGGTTGCTCTAGCCAGAGCCATAGAGCAAGACCCTTTCTCCAAAATAAATAAATATTTTTTAAGAACATTAACTCTCCCAGAACAAAGATAAAGTTTGTGTGTGTACTTAAACTAAGTTCAAGTATATCTACACAGAGTCTCATTTGGTACCAAAACAAAGTTTTCATTTTGTAATTTTCATGGATTTTTTTTTTTTACTGTGGTGTTTTTCCTTATACTAATCAGATAAAAGATTATTATCTAGAATTATTTTTATATAAAATCCAAATTTTATGATTTTATAATTATAGTTTTATTAAATTAAAATATTAATTGAAAATTATTTTTAATTAACAATATTTCTTTGTTTTTTGTTTTTAAAGCTCAGACAAGCAGTTGGATAAATTAACAATATTTCTATTTCTTTATTAAGTTGACCACCAGTAATATCTAAAATGTGTAGGTATTATGTAACTATAATTACCCAAAAGTAATAACATTTTTAAGTAAAATGTTATTTTATTAGAAAATTAACATTTTTGAGATATAATTCTTAGAACATCATTAATGAAAGCTGATCAAGAAGTTCTCAGCACCTAAGTGGACACACAGGTACTACGGTAATAGGGTATTGGGCAGGGGGGAGGGGGGGGCCGGGTATATACATACATAATGAGTGAGATGTGCACCATCTGGGGGATGGTCATGCTGGAAACTCAGACTTGTGGGGGGATGTTTTTTTTTTTTTTTTTGAGACAAGAGTCCCACTTTGTTGCCCAGGCTAGAGTGAGTGCCCTGGCGTCAGCCTAGCTCACAGCAACCTCAAACTCCTGGGCTCAAGCGATCCTCCTGCCTCAGCCTCCCGAGTAGCTGGGACTACAGGCATGTGCCACCATGCCTGGCTAATTTTTTTTTTATATATATAATATCAGTTGGCCAATTAATTTGTTCTATTATAGTGAGACGGGTCTGCTCTTGCTCAGGCTGGTTTCGAACTCCTGACCTGAGCAATCCTCGCCCCGGCCTCCCAGAGTGCTAGGATTACAGGCGTGAGCACCGCGCCTGGCCAAAACTTTCTGATTTTAAGTTGTTGACAGCAAATACATTTGCATCGAAAACCATTTCTATTCTGTTTTTCGTCCACTGAAAGTATATACATAAACCTCAGGTCTGAACTGTGACTCTGTGATTGAAAAGGACCTAGGGGAATGAGAGAAGCAAGGGTAATTATTCATTGGCCAACTTTTTTTTTTTTTTTTTTTTAAAGCCAGTCAAATTTAGCAGTGGGGGTTGAATACCAACTTAGTGGCTCCATTTATCAAGACTTTAAACCCACACTTTACTACAGAACTAGTTTAACTCAGAAACAACATTAAACGTTTTGCAATCCAAAGATTGCCAAAAATTTTAAATTTTATTATATGAGTTAACTGAGCTATAGTGTGAAATTACAATACTTGCCTGGATAAGAAAACAGTATAAATGAAAAGTTTTTCTCTCTTGTCTGGATAGAGAAATTTCTCTAGGAAACTTGGTTTTGCTTAACACAGTTTTTTTCCCCTGCACTTTTTCCATTAGTGAATCACAGTAAAGAGCAATTTTGGCCTAAATCTGCCCCCGGGACTAGGTCTCCTGATCTTCACAGCTCTTCTCTTCTACCACTTCTGAACCTACTTATTTTCTAAAAAATAAGTCCATTCACAATGTCTGTAGGGTTTCTATGTAGAACCATTGGTGAATCAGGGATTTCCTAATACATGCAAGATAGTTTCACTATACATACTCCATAAATATTGGAGTCTCTTATACTAGGTATCCTACCACATGGCTTGGTGAAATGGTCTTGGCTCACCAAGGTGAGAAAGACAGCCGGAGAGAGTAATATAGCATTAGTGTATACTAGGGGGTACTAAATGCTGTAAGAATTCATAGGATGTATTATTATCAGGAAAGGCTTTCAGAGTAAACAGAAGTTATGAAAGAAGATAGCAGAGCATAGTAAAGGAGAAAGGCACTTCAGACAGTATTATGAAGCGGAGAGATTCTCACTTCAAAGAAATAGAAAAAATTAATATATCTGGAACAAAGCAGATTAAGACATGGATCAAGAATGAACTGAATAATATACTATGGAAGATTATTGAAGAAATTTGTTTTAAAAGTTTTGATGGCCGGCGCGTGGCTCACGCTATTAATCCTGACTCTGGTGAGGCAGAGCGGGGCAGATTGCTCAAGGTCAGGATTCGGAAACCAGCCTGAGCAAGAGGGAGATCCGTTCTCTACTTAAATAGAAACAATATTGGCCAACTTAATAGTTATATAAGAAAAAATTAGCCAGGTATGGTGGTTCATGCCTGTATCTAGCACATTGGGAGGTTGAGGTGGGAGGATCACTTGGAGGCCGGGATTTGAGACCAGCTTTTTGGGGGGGCACCATAGTGAGCCCCTGTTCTACAAAAAAAAAAAAAGGCAGGTACAATGGCAGATTGCCGTAGTCTCAGCTACTCAGGAGCTGAGATAGGGAGGATGGCTTGAGCCCGAGGATTTGATGGTTGCCACTGAATTAATGATGATGACACTGCACTTCGGCCCAGGCAACGGTGAAGACTCTATGTAAAAAAAAAAAAGTTTCGAGAAGGGGATGCAGTATTCATATGTCAAATTGCTTAAAATAGTTGGCAAGAGATGGGTATATACACACATAATGGGCAGTGCGCATCGTTATGGGAGGATGGACACACTGGAAGCTCTGATTCGGGGTGGGGCAAGGTCAATATACATAACCTAAACTTTGTCCCGTAATATGCTTGACTTTAAAAAAATTAAAAAAATTAACAGTATGGGAAGTACAGTTATAACTGTGATGATAAATTAGATATCAATATTTAGGAGTGATAGGTGAGCATTTAGGAGAGTTAAGTAATTGTGATTAAAATGACTGTATTAATATTACTGGATATGATAAAAATTTAAAAGAAAGAAAGGAAGAAAGAACAAGGTAAAGAAGAGGAAGAGAGGGGAGGAGACAATGGAGAGGAAGAATAGATAAGTGAGGGATGAAACTCCGCTTTTCTTAGGCTTCGTTCTTGGAAAACATGCTTCCCCAGAGAAGGAAGATAATAAGTCCAATCCTTTATTGCCAGGCACAGCAATTTAATCACGACCTTCTCAACGCTAATTGTAGCAATACCTTCAACCAGCTGGGTTATTATTCCATAGGAGCTTTAAATCGATTCCTCCTACCTTGGCACAGATTTAGGAATAAATAGGGTGTCTCAAAGCCTAATAATTTCTATTAACATACTCTAAAAGCTAAATTCTAAGTGCAATCTCAGTTAGGTTCTGTCTTACCATGCTTCTCCTTGCTTCAGCAAAGCTTCTTTTCTTCTCTATTTCCCTTTCTGGCTTCTCTCCTGCTTTCCTTTTTTCATCTTCTCTCGTTTGCCTTTCTATTTCTTCAAAACTGAGTTTGAGTCTACCTGGGCGTTACTTTTAAAATTTTTTCTGTGTCTTGGTTTTCTTCCTCTTCATTTACCTAACCAAAGAAACACTTCATTATTGAGAATTGAGATTCATCAAAGAGAAATGATTAGCAATCAAAAGACTCAGAGAAGTGTTTCAATGCCCTTAATATACTGTGTGTTGTGTGTGTGTGTGTGGTGTGTGTGTGTGTGTGTGTGTGTGTGTGTGTGTGACAGAACAAGACTCTGTCACCCAGGCTAGAGTGCAGTGCGGTCATTATACACTCAACTACAACCTCAGATTTCTGGGCTCTCCTGCCTCAACCTCCCAAAGTGGTAGGATTACAGGCATAAGGCCACCTTGGCTCTAGCTTTTTGTTTTTTTTTCTCCTAAGTAGATGGGACTACAGGTATGGGTTACCATGCCCAGCTAATTTTTTTTTCTATTTTTAGTAAAAACAGTCTCCCTGTTGCTCAGGCTGGCCTTGAACTCCTGACTTCAAGCAGTCCTGCCCCTCAGCCTCCCAGAGTGCTAGGATTACAGGGATAGGCCACCACGCTTCTTTCCCCCTCTCTTCCGCTGTCCATGCCCGGGCATCGTGGCACATGCCAATAGTCAGTCCCTTCTACTCTGGGGGCTGAGGCAGGATTGCTTGAGCCCAGAAGTTTGAGGTTGCAGTGAGCTGTGATGCACCACTACACTCTACCCAGGGTGACAGAGTGAGACCCTATCTCAAAGGAAAAGAAAAAGACTTGCCAAACTGATGAGCCTATTAGCATCTGTGATACTCCTGTAGTTTGATCTTATTTTGATTAAATTTATCAGTTTCTTTGTTTCAAGGAAAATCAGTATAAATGGGTATATTAAGTACTCTAGAACAACAGTTCTCAATCATGGTGTACTCACATAATTCTGAGGTAAATTGGAATAAATATATACTTAAGGAACTACAGTAATATCACAGTCACTTGCAAACCTATATATTTTTTTAAACTAGCAAGGGAGGAATAGAGAGTTATATAGTACACTAGAAAGTACACATAACTGCAGAAGCCTGTACCAAGTAAGCACCTCAGGAGTATGCTGAGTATCATTTACGTGAATAATAATTATAAGGTTATTATAAGATAATATACTTAGCTTAATAAATACAAATATAAATAGATAGGTTTTTTTGTTGTTGTTTTTTTAGAGACAGGGTCTTGCTCTGTCATCCAGGCTGGAGTGGTGCATGGCTCACTGCAGCCTTGAGCTCCTGGGTTCAGGTGATCTCATGCTTCAGCCTCCTGAGTAGCTGGGACTATATAGGTGTGGCCCACTGTGCCCAGGTGATAGCTATTACTTAAAATCTTACCTCTCCCATTTCTTGTCTCAGTTGTTCAAACTCCTGTTTCTCCATTTCTAGTTTATGCTTCCGTTCCTCCTCTGTTCGTCGTTTTTCTTCTTCCATTTTTTGTTTTAATAATTCTTCAAAATTAATTTCCAGTTTTCCCGGTGTAAGAGATTCTTGAGAAATTGTTTTATACATCTCTGGGGAGTCATCATCTACTACCTATTTAAAGTAATTTTTTAAATCACTCTTTCTGAAATTATACATACTAGAAAGGGAATATTTCTTGAAGAAACTGGGATATCTTGAATAAAAATGTTTCACATTGAACTATAAACCAGGAGACATAAATTAATAATAAACAAGGGAGGAATTACTAGAAAATGTAAGACTGAAGTATTTTGTGGTTTTGGAGGAAATGGTAACTATTCTCCATTCCAGTGAACACAAAGAAATACTTTGACTTTATACTGTAATTTGAATTAGACATTAACATTTTCTAATATTGAGAACATTTTTAATCAAATTAAAGTGAATCTCCATTCTGATAATTAAAATAGAACATTTCAGTTAAATCCTGGTCTTGTCTGAATGAATGAGATAACCCATACGATCTCTTCATAATCAAGTAAAAATCACTCTTAGTACTATGATTTTATGTATTTGCTGTCAGGCTAACTATCAAGAAATAATAATAGTTAACACTTAGAGCTGCCAAGTATAGTTATATGTACTTTACATGTATTAATTTATTTAATCCTCTAACCCTATGAAGTAGATATTAATATCCTCATTTTACAGATGAAACTGAGGCACTGCCAAGTAACTTGTCAACACAAATACTATGTGGCAAATTATCTGCCATTTAGCTGTAACCTTGGGCAAGTTACCTAGCCTGAGTCTGGGTTTCCTTATCTGTGACAACTTTCATAGGGTTGTCATAAGGATTAAAGAAAGTTTAGAAACACTTGGCAGTGTCTCTAACACCATGGTAAGCTGTCAAAAGGTAGTCCTATCCTTACATTATCATCCCTTATATATAAGCAATCCCTAAACTGCAAATAGAAACTTTCTAGAGAGAAAAACGAAAAAAATGATCTATCAGAAAAGTATTATCTAGAATATTTTAATAAAATCCAAATTTATGATTTTATAATTATAGTTTATTAAATTAAAATATTAATTGAAAATTATTTTGAATTAACAATATTTCTTTGTTTTTTGTTTTTAAAGCTCAGACAAGCAGTTGGATAAATTAACAATATTTCTATTTTTTATTAAGTTGACCACCAGTAATATCTAAAATGTGTAGGTATTTGTAACATAATTACCCAAAAGTAATAACTTTTTAAGTAAAATGTTATTTTATTAGAAAATTAACATTTTTGAGATATAATTCTTAGAACATCATTAATGAAAGCTGATCAAGAAGTTCTCAGCACCTAAGTGGACACACAGGTACTACGGTAATAGGGTATTGGCAGGGGAGGGGGGGGCCGGTATATACATACATAATGAGTGAGATGTGCACCATCTGGGGGATGGTCATGCTGGAAACTCAGACTTGTGGGGGGAGGGGGGAAAGGGCATTTATTGAAACCTTAAAATCTGTACCCCATAATATGCCGAAAAAAAAAAAAAAAGAAACAGAAGTTAAAAAAAAAAAAGTTCTGGTAACTTAAAAAATTATAAATGTTGTGTCCGGGTGCCGTGGCTCCTGCCTGTAATCCCAGCACTTTGGAGGCCTGAGGTGGGAGGATTGCTTGAGGCCAGGAGCTTACCAGCCTGGGCAAGTAAGACCCTGTCTCTAAAAAAGATTTAAAAAATTAGCTGGTGTGGTGGCATGAGCCTGTAGTCCCAGCTACTCAGGAGGCCGAGGCGGGAGGATCATTTGAGCTCAGGAGTTGGAGACCAGCCTCAGCAAGAGACCCTGTCTCTACTAAAAATAGAAAAATTAGCCAGGCATGGTGGTGTGTGCCTGTAATCCCAGCTACAGGAGGCTGAGGCAGGAGAATAGCTTGAGCCCAGGACTTTGAGGTTGCTGTGAGCTAGGCTGACACCATGGTACTCTAGCCCAGGGGACAGAGTGAGACTCCATCTCAAAAAAAAAAGTTTGAGGTTCCACTGAGCTATGAATGGGCCACTGCACTCCAACCTGGGCAACAGAGCCAGACCCTGTCTTTAAAAAAAAAAAAAAAAGGCCGGGCGTGGTGACTCACGCCTGTAATCCTAGCACTCTGGGAGGCTGAGGCAGGTGGATTGCTTGAGGTCAGGAGTTTGAAACCAGCCTGAGCAAGAGCGAGACCCCGTCTCTACTATAAATAGAAACAAACTAATTGGCCAACTAACATATAAAAAAAATTAGCCGGGCATGGTGGTGCA